TGACACTAGTCATTCTGTTGTTTTCTACAAAATAATTTTTTGACATCATAGATCACGTTTCATCTACTTTTACATATTACAGATCATGCCTGTTAAATAAAAGGAGAAAACACAAAAACACAGAAAAAATACTCACAATACTCAAAATACTGTCTTAAAATTTGTGCTTGGTAACGTACAAAAGGAATGTTTAAGAAGGAATCCACCAGGAAACTGAGTAATTTTAATTCTCAGTGGACAAAGACCTTGTACCTGCACAATAATTTTTAAAAGGCCTTGGGAAGAAAAAAATCTGTTAAAAAATAATTATTCACTCGATCGTACTTAAACCAACGATTTTGTAACTAGGGCACATAATTAAGGGCTTTATTCTGGCCAAGTTTGAGGCCAGCTCATATTTTGACTATTTCCTTGTCTTAAGTTGATAATTACGCAGTGCTGCTCTCAAGAATATTGCATTCTTTTTACATTTTTCAAGAGCTAAAGATGTAAGTGGTCATTTTGTACTAACACCAAAGAAAACGTTTCATGGGATTCCAAGGAAATGAATGTCAAATTTCACAAGAATTGTGAAAACACAGGAAAAATTCTGAAAATTTAATGTGTAAGATGTAATTTTGTGAAATTTGACATTCATTTTCTCGGGCTCCCATGAGAAATTTTCTTCAGTGTTATCACAGAAGACTAATTGCATCTCTAACCCTTGAAAAATTTAAAAAAGAATACAATATGTTTTAAATTATTCTGGTGCAGGATTTTTGTCCACTAAAAATTAAAATTACTCAATTTCCTGGTGGATTCCGTCTTAATTAAACCCACTGTAAGAATCACTGAGAATTTAGTATTGCTTTTGAACGATATTGTAGTGAAGTTGATCTTTAGTATGAAAACTTTAAACGGGTGACAAGTGCGTTTGTGCATATTTTGAAAAACTGTCCCGAAAAGTGAATCACGTGCACAACTGCAATTTATTAGTCCTGATGTCTTGATGATATGTAGTTATTAACAATTGCATTGTTTCTTCGCCTCCATATATCTAAAATGGTTCCCTCGGGAGTTTACAGATTGACACACGCATTCAGGGAGGGGGGGGGGGTTAGGGGTTGGGGAACTTCCATGTTTGGCTTACCCGGTATGTGAAGTGCTTCATGAGATGAGTTTTTGGGGATTAATTATTAAAAAAAAGTATTAAATGCCAATATTTAGACTTTTAAACAGGGTAGAGATTTGACTCCTTTTTACATAAAACAGGGTCACAAACGAAGGATTTTAGCAGCAAAGACCAACCAGACCTCGTT